GTATATATAGTAATTCAAAAGAAATAACTATAAGGTAACTTAGGTTGTTGGTCAAACAACATTTCAACACCTATTTCTACCCTGCTTTTATATAAACATGATCATCGCAATTCAACCATAAGGAAACATGCAAGGAGAAGTTAGTATTCATCAAAAGAATACTCATACAACAAGTGTACAAATAAAGACAACTACATTACCAACACCAACATGTAAATCACACAACATAACACCTCAACATGGCATTCAACAACCTTAAAAAGGCACACAACAATTTCATCATACATTAATAACGCCTTTCAACAACCAAAATCATACAACAAATGAACAACACCAAATTCACTTTATCATATGCATAACACCTCAACTACATTCGTTATTACGCATTCACTTGCGAAGATCTCCTATAACAAAGTTGAGTAGTTTAAGTGACTTTACCCTATTGAACCAACACAATCTTTTTACACTTATTAAATCAACAATCAAATTAGATCAAAGTCCACAACAACATGGTTTCTCGGATATCATTACTTAAATTATGAAATCTAGTATTCCTATTAGGTTTAAACAACTTGGATGTCAGCCTACCACGACATTAGCTTGCATAATTAAGACCTTGTGGAATTAGTCTGTCGATTACCCTCAAAATATTACACCTTTCTAGTACTTAGTTAAGGACTAAGCTTTCGACCTCGTACCTTACTCGGTTGGTCATTTTTTACACGTATATCTCAACCTTACTCACATACAGATCAACATTGGTCATTTATAATCAGTATAGCTCAACCTAACCCCTATAATATGGTCATTTATAGTCAATATTCCTCACCTTAACCACATATCGCATTAACTAAGATTTTAGAAGAGACTCAACTACCCATTTTAAGAGTCAACTACTAAAGAAGCTTTTCAACAACTAGGCTCACAAAGCACCACACTAATATTCGCACAATGAGATATCCAACTTTCGAAAATACACAATCAACACAACACACCCTGATACTTAAATGCCTTAAGCACTCTTAGGATTACCGCCTCAACAATTCATAAATTAATCATTTATGTACATTATCCTATATCAATATATATAAAACTAACAATATTCAACAATATTTCAAATATCAATAGTTTAATCATCAGTATACATTATCTCATATTAATGTATAAAAAATTAACAAGATATATCAACATATGGCATGTAAATTGATTCAACTAACCTATACATGTTCACCATTTTTCTCATTTAAACAACAACATATTTTTACAAGGCACCTCACGTCCAACACTATCCTTTAATGAATATTATAATCTCAATTGATCCTTAACTTTATCATATTAACAAACAAATATCATAAGCTTTAATTGTATTATAATCAATCCTTAAATTTTACCACTTTACAATAACCTTGATTTTAATTTAATTTTAACCAATTTTAAAAATTTATTTCTTATATATACACACATATATATATATATATAGCATATCAAGTGAGGGAAAATTTATTATGAGAGATGAGAGGATTAAAATATAACCCTTAGATTAATTTTACGAATCCCCAAATTTTAGCGTATCAAGTAAGAGAAATTAATCTAAGGGTTATATGTTATATTTTAACATATTATATTATAACCCTAATCATGTTATATTTTAACCCTCTCATATCTCATAATAAATTTTCTCTCACTTGATATGCTCCCTCTCTCTCTCTCTCTCTCTCTCTCTATATATATATATATATATATATATTCACCTCTTATATTATATTGGATTAAACTAGAAAGAATAATCAACAATCATTTATTTATTTTAAATTATACTTATTTATTAGTTTTATTTTTATATCACTTTTCTATATATTAAATCATATAATTTAGAATTAAAAAAAAATAAATATTTTTTATTTCTTTTTTTTATTATTCTCTTCTTTGTCTTTCTTTTTAAATTCATATTTGTGATATATTTGAAAAAGAAATTGTAATAAAAGAAGAAAAATTAGTGAATGAATGTCATTTAAGAAGAATAATTAAACTCTAAATTGATAAAATGATTAATGTGCTGAACTCAAAGTTGAATTAACAAAATAATTTATGACTGGACTTTATTTACCTTTCAACTAAATCAAATTAGTATAAAGTAAAGCTTTAGAACACTGGTGAGTTAAAAATAAACCAATCACGGAGAATTAAATTTGAGATGGAACTTGAGCAGAGTCTTCTTGTGTCTGAATTCTCACCATTTCATTGTTTTGCTTATTTTTATTTTATAATTTTATTCTCCAACTAAAAATATCCCTTTCTTTTACATTATATGTACTATAATTACATAAAAGAAATAAATTTACTACTTCCAGTAAATTAGACTTTGCTCTTGAACTTATGAAAATTTATTTTATAAAAAGTAAGAATAAAACTTATCAATCTAACATTCATCAATTCTTATTTTAAATAAACCAATCCGTCAACTTTATAAATTTTTTTGGAATATCTCAAAGATTTTGGCCTTTTAATTAATTAAATAAATTAAAAGAATCTAATTTATTTAATTAGAAGAAAAAAAAGTTAATGTAATAAATGTTTTATTTTTCTAATAAAAATTTATCAATTTCGAATTTGTAAAATCACTCTTAAAAATTGATCTTAATAAATATATTTAATTTGACGTAGCTCTAATAAAATGATATAGATTAAGCCACAAAATTCAAATCAGAAACTTGACCTCATTATTATTACATATTTGCATCATGACCCACGTCACATTATGTAATTATCGTTATCCTGGCCAATAATTTTTTTAGTTTAAATATTTTCTAGTCCTTTAAATTTAGGCCAAATTTATATTTGATTATGCATTTCGAATTGCAATATTTTTTTTTAAAACTTTTATTGTCAACCTTGCATTGAGTTGCAAGTTATAGGAACTCGAAGACTAATCCATTTCATTTTTTTTGGAACATGAAGTGATATTTTGGAGGAGAAGGGAAAAACTTAGTTTTTATTATTATTTTGAATTAAATAATTAATGTAAAATTTATGAAGATAAATAATTAATTAAAACATTAAATATGTGTTAATTTTTTTTCCTCTTATGTCATATTTTTTTGTTTTCAACATTTTGTAAAGTTATTCTCCTTTTTACAGAAGTTATAGATAGAACTAACTAACTGTTAGTTCGAGTAGAATTAAACTAGATTACTTTAAAAAAAAAAAAATCTCAAGTTTAAATCTTTTGAAAGAAAAAAAAGAGTAATTCAAAGAAAAGATTATAATAAAAGTGATCAATATGATTTTTAACAAAAATTACTAATTAAGAAAGATAGTTCATACTAATAATATGATTTAAATTTTTTTTGACAATGAGCATCAAATGGAAATTATAATGGATATCATTAAATATTTTTCCTTAAGTTTTCCAGAACTAATCTGCATGGTGATCACTTTTTTTAAGTTATAATGAATGGGAGGGGGGAAAAGTTCAATTGGTTGAAACAACCTTTTCTTAAAATAACAACAACTTGCACGATGTCCCCTTTCGATATATATGAAGAAAAAAAGTACACAAAGCATTACAAGTCAATACATCAATTTGATATTGTGATTCAATCTCAGATGCTTGACAATGAAGCCACATCTTCAATTAGTTATATTGTTCATATGACTTCATCTCGTGGACAGAATAATAGTCTTTTAATGGTTCAAAATATTTTTTAAAAAATAAAAATCCTAAAATTCAAACAACTAAGCATGTACTTTATACTTAATGATGAAGACTCAATATATTTAGTATTTACAAATGTGTTGAAAAATGTGTTTTTGGTCAACAATGTATACCGAAAATATTTACAAATATATCGAACATATTGAATAAAAGTTTTCAACAAGTTATTGAAGCCAGATGATAGGTCGGCCCATGGCCCAAATCTATATAAACTTACAAGCCTATGCACAAACCCAAAACCATTATTGATTTTAAGTGGAATCAAATAATTAATTATATTTTTTAAAACCTTTAAAAATTAGTGAGTGGTTAACCTGTGTACAAAATACCAAAGGTTTGTTCACTTGTAGTCATTAACTAAAGATTGAAGTTCATTTTCCAATTTGAACAAAGTTATAATGAGAGATATCACTTTACACCTATAAGGTTTAACATGATGAAAATAAATTATATCTCTTTATTAAACTAAAAAATGTGTACAAAATATAGATATTTGGATTTGGTTTTGAGCGTGATATATGTGCGTTGCCATTGTACAACACAAATTGTAGCATAAAATTTTCCATCCTTTCATTTACTCATTTATTTTGTTCCATTTGTAGAGAGTCATTCATGTTCTAATGGATTTAGGGCACCATTAAACAAACAGTTCAATTAAGCGCATATTCAATAGTAAAGTTCACTATTAAACTTACTACTATAAGTTAAAACAAACTTGTAGTAAGCTTAGAAGTTACAAGCAACTTTTACAAACACAAATATGATCCATTTTAGTTCTTCCAAGCAATTCCTTGGAATTTTTGAATCTCTTTGCACTACCATTTTATTTGGAATGATGTAAAAGAAGAGGGAAGAAAAATATACGAAAGAAAAGAAATTTATCAAAAAAATTATTATTTCCGATTTGGGAAAAAACAATAAATAAAAAAAAGTGCAAAAGATAAAAATAGTATTATATCCTTTATATCAATTACTATGTTTTATTTTTGCTCAAGATTATTTATATCACCTTATAAATATACTTTTTCATTCTTTTCTCTCCTACCACCAAACTATTAAAAATCATAATTTTTTACTCTTTCTCTCACTTTTTTTCCTTTCACTTTCTTTCATAAACCATAGTGACGTGTAACTATTTGCTTCAGATAAGTCCACACAGAAAAGAGAACCACGTCACTACCTTATGAGATTCTCGTTGAAGTTATGCATCGTTGCTGCTACCAAATTTGTATAAATCTTCTCATGACACAAAACATTACCTCATGCTAAATACTATCGCATAAACTTCACCAAAAATGAAAGATAATCAATCATACATAACTGATATGACATATGCTATAATATATATGTACTTTACAACTTATGTAAGATAATCACGTGATATGTAACTTATACAAGAGGGTAGGTATAAAATGTGATTAATGAACACCACAAGAGACAAAACTGATAGAAGGTAACAAAATAAAACGACAACTTTCTTTCCTAGACACGTTATAAACAAGCAGATATACAGTTCAATCAAAATGAGCAGAGATAAATAATGAGCTTAATCAGTGATTTTGATTCCAGTCCTGGATCGCAGAGCGAAGAGCACGATTAGGAACAAGATTGTGATGTGCAAGCTTACTATTTGTCATTGGTGAATTGTCATGACCACCATCAAGCCATCCTCGTATAGCCTCAGCTTCATAAGTAAAACCATCTGCAGCTACATGTGGATCTCTCATGACTTCCTGCAAAGTTGGAACAAAACCAAGGAGAATTTTCTTAGATGGCAGTTTTATATTCAAAGCTATATCATTCCACTGATTGGAAAATAATTTGCAAGTGTAGAGAATAAAGATATGAAATAGGGGATTTGGCTCTTCTAGAGTAAGCAACTCACTTCAAAAGGTAATATTCGTAAAGGTTAAATATGTTTTTCATCACTGAACTTTTGTCAACTTTCACCTTTGGTTACTGAACAAATTTTATTTTGCTTTAGTTTCTAAAACTTTCCACCATGAATAAAAAATCTTGATGTCAGAACCCAAAAATGTTAATAGAGGAGAAGTTCAAGAACTAAAAGTGAAAATCAACAAAAATTCAAGAGCTAAAACTAGTAAAAAAATTGCTTAGGAATTAAAAGTAAAAAATCAATAAAAGTTCAAAGACTAAAAATATATTTAATCCAATAAGTAATCTTAGACATTGATGAAAATATCAATAATTCATATTCCAATACATTCATGATTTGTCATACATGTGCATGTAATATTGACTGCTACTGATTTTTTTATTTACGGCCACCTTGGCGCCATGGCTCGCTCTCAAGTGAAGAAAATAAAGATATAGAGTAAAGTCAAATTAAAAAAACACACACTAAAGGAATATGCAAGAATGAAATATTGACCAACTTCGAAATGAAACATGAGAATTAGGATGGGTTTCATTTGCTTAGACAAGTGTTCATTAGGGTGGAGATTCTACCACAGCATGAGGACATAACATTTTAGAAGAGCTGAAACTCAAGAACAAAGGTAGAGACAGAACTAGTTACCTGGAAGATTGGACAAAGAAAATATGAAGGAGGTTGTGAAAGCCCTTCAGAACTTAGTCCAAAGGCGTTTGTGCCTCCAGAAGAAGCCCTCATTGCATCAAGTATTCTCCAGACATCTGAATAAAGATCCGGCCGGCTCTTTCGACTCATATCACAACACCTCAAAGCCAAGCGAGCCAACTGTTCAGCCTGCACAAATGGCCAGTCTCCAGCCAAAGGGTCCAATAGGGACATCAACTTTCCAGTATCTAATGCATATTTCACTTCCTTTGTTATTCCCAAGGCTGGTTTCCCAGTCAACAATCTCAACAATATGATTCCGAATGAATATACATCAGACTTTGGAGTCAGTTCCCCTGAGGCAAGGAATTCAGGATCCATGTAGACAAAAGTTCCCTTCGGGTCGGTTCTCCAAAACTCTGTAGTATTGTTACTAGAACCCTCACAGTTGGATAATATACGACATATTCCAAAGTCACTAAGCTTGCTAATAAGGTTTGCATCAAGGAGAATGTTGGAGGGTTTCAAGTCACCATGCACTATGCTGTGAGGTTTACTGGAATGGAGAAAGATGAGAGCAGAACATAGTTCAGCAGCAATGCGAATTCGAGTTTGCCATGATAATGGAGGGGTGTTATCCTTGCAGACAAGTCGGTCTTCAAGGCTTCCGTTGGGTAAATACTCGTAGACAAGAGTCCATGATTCTGGGCAGGCTCCTATGAGTGTGATAAGATTTGGATGCCTTAGCTTGCTCAATACATCAACCTGATACAAAACCAAAAGTGGGATCAACATAAATATTCTTTTCACTACAAACCTGGATCTTCTTTCCCTTCATTCAGAGCTTTAAAGGCAAGGTTGATGATATATACCAAGGAACAAAAGAAACAAGTTTTAAAAAATATGCAAAGCATGGGGGGTTGGAAATTAGGCAAAATTAATGAAACTCTCTAAACTTGTTGCTGCCAACTCTTGTCACAGTTTCCTTTAAAAAAAAGAAAAAATTGGCTGGGGGGAAGGACGGTGCTTGCTCCCCCTTGGATTCGTCACTGGTTAAGGATAAATTTATTTTAGTCAGACATCTAACAACTTTTACACAAGATTTTTCATATGATAAATGCTAAAACCTACATGCCAAAAATATTATTGTTGATCAAAATAAGATGATGTTTAAACTATCCCAAAAATGTCAAACCATCCTACCTCCTGTTGAAACTCCAAGGGCCCTTGCATGCTGTTAGAGTGCAACATTTTTATAGCCACCTCAGTGTGACGCAAGATACCTTTAAATATACTTCCGTATCCACCTTCTCCGATCTTCGTGGATGGATTGAAATTACCTGTTGCATCTTTAATTTCTGAAAAAGAGAATTCTGAGAACAATTGAGGGACGTGGGTGCATGAGGCCTCTCCTTGTTTCTTCCTCAACTCTTCAGCCTCTCTCAATGCATTATCGCGCTGCATCTGCAATTCATCTCGTTCATTCTTGTATCTTTGTAATAGATCCACAGCAGATAAAATCTTCTGTTCCAACTCCTTTATCATAAGTTCAGATGATGCAATTTGATTCTCCAGGGATGCTTTCTGATCAAGGGCAAGGCGGAGTTCTTCCTTAACCTTGTCTCTCAGGCTCTTCATATTCTCAAGTTCTTCTTTTTCTTTTCTAAGTTCTTCCTCTGCCATTCTCCTCATGTTCAACTCCTCCGTATATAAGCTTTCAGAGGCTTTAGCCTGTCAGTTGCGCAATTCAAAAAATGAAAAGAATTAGAGGATGTATCGAGCAGCAACATCAACCTACGACTATAGATAATACAACTTAAAATGATTCTGTTTATTCAAATGATCTTTAGCGTTAGTTAATGTTGAGTCATACATTCTCCTTTCTTATTTTACTTAGTGACTAATGAATGCTTTACCATCCAAAGGAATTTAAACTATAAAACTGGATGCAGATAATGAACAATTATGATTTTACATCATAAACATGATCATTGAAGTATAATAAGCACTCAACAACCAAACAGTAACCTTGCGTATAGAGTCAATGGCATCTCTTTCAGCTTTCATACGCCTAAACGTTTCTTGATACGCATTTTGCCTAGCATTCTCAGCCTCAGCCATAGCCTGTTCAAGCTGGTCATACATAGTATCATTCGTCCCACCATCCTGTTAGTGTTCAATCAATTATCTTAAAAACATCAGCATAAAGCTTGAAAATTAAAACTCTACTCATCACTGCAAATTTAGAAGGTAAAAATGTCTCTCATCAATTGCAAAAATTCACCATACAAAAATATTCACATGCCCCATAACAGATATATAATTTTTTTTATCCATAGGAATTACAAAGATAACAACTGGACTCAAACTTAGGACCCTATGCATATTACTCCAATCCCCTACCTCTGAAAGAGAAAAGAGTATTTGTGTGTACCAGTATACTAGGAGGAGCTGAATGATGAAGATCCTCTGTCAGTAGGCGACTCAAAGTCAACTCCAATGCATGCTCACTGCCTTCAGTAATCAAACTTGGGGTCAATGCTAGTTCAACTGCACTGTCAGAGCATGTTGATAAGGCAGAAGGACTCATCCTTGACAACCTATCGGATTCATCTGAACTTACTTCTGTACCCATCCTGTCACGTGGAGTTGAAAACCCTTCAGTCTCTTCTGGAGAAGAAGCAGGCAAAAAGCCCGCCCCATGTCTATCATTGGCAGACCTTACTCTGCGTAATAAATCTAGGGCAGGATTTGTTAGATTTGATCGACGATCTTGCCCCAGAGTAGATTGAGATCTTAAAGATCTCACGGAATTTGGCACTTGCTGCCCCAAAGGAGACGCTAACTCTGAATTACCTTCATCCAAACTGCGATCCCTGTGATAATATTGTACTTACATCAGTAAATCAGTACCCAAAATAATAAAATCAGAGAGCAATGAAAGCTATTGGCAGAGATAATTTCAGCATAATAATTACAAGTTTTAGTTAAAGCAAGAAAAAAAGCGAATTAGAGCTTAGTAACTAGAAAAAGGAATTAAGAATTGAATATTATTTTCTGATAATGAGTACAAGGTGACTAATTTTTACAGGCTATAATATTGTTGTCATAATTACAATTTTAAAAGGAAAGTCAATTTATGACAGCTCCAAAGACCGTGGCTGGGCTGGATAACATAAAGAAGAAAACCAAACAAACAAAATAGACTGGTTCAGTGTAGAGTGGTGGCTAAGATGGCCACGCATGGTGGTCATGCACCTGATTAGATGGTCAATATACATATGTATAAGGAGACTCATCCTAATATTTACAGGCTTCAATATTGCTGTCATATTACGATTGAAAAAAAAAAAACTAAATTATAGGGAAATAAACAAATAAAAACTGAAATAATGAAATACGAAAAAAAATATCATGTGCTTCAATATAGTATTCCCAGGCAACTACAAATCATTATATCAATGAATATCAAAACACAAATCTTTTAGGAGGCCTTGAACCTTTGGTGTATGAGGTGCCCTTTGCAGACAAACTGTATTTGACAAGAAGCTGGAGCTTGTTTATACACATAGATGGCTTTCTTAGATTTGATGTCCATCATTCTCCTGCAATGTCATGCAAGTGAGCTCATTGAAAACATAATATTGACTTCAACAAAATGGATTAAAAAACTGAGAAACTCGTGAGACATTATTAGTTGATTATCAGAACATATGCAAGAAAGCTTAGTTTTTGCAAAATTATAAGTGGATATGGATTAGACATGAATATGAATCATATGATTGCTCCATACACCCAACCCTGATAATAGAATCATGGTGGAGAAATATAGATCCAGCTCCATAGCTTAGAAAGTCACTGAACTAGTTATTGAAAACAGCAAATCTATAATATGCTTTACTCAGAAGTTTCACACCCAGAAGGTACTGAATTTGCAAGGTCATCCACAGATATAGCAATTTATTTATCTTATTCCTCACGAAATACCAACATATCATCTTCAATACCTTTTACAGTATCATCAAATCTCCTGTAAACAATAATGTGGTTAGGGAACTAGAGGGGTATTTTGCTTCTTACCTATTATAGAACTTATCAGCTGCTGCCCCCATAACAAGCTTTCGGATGTCATGCTGGGACACAAGTTCTAAAATTCCTCTTTCAATGCTATCCATTTCAATATGCAGTTTCTCTGCTCGCACCTGTATCATAAAGTTATTAGTGCAAAATTAAATAACTTTCTAAATACATATGCATATGGAATTGCAATAGTTACCCCCATCCGTAGACAGATACGTAGATATTCGTCCAGAGTCCTATGCATGCGTTGCCTTTCCTCTTCCCAGTATGACTGAACCTGCTCCTCTTTTAGAGCACTGACTGGGAATCTACCTCCCACTATAAACAAGAAAATTGAAGTTTTAGACCATTAACAGATACTGAAACAGCACATCAGAGAGAATTTCCAATGGTTACTATACATTACAGCTAAATTTGTTTCCTGAAATTAACTACATCAGCAATAAACCAATACATCAAATGATCAAGTCGACAATTGCCACCCAACATCATAAAGTTTACACATTAAAATTCAAAGGTCATCAACATATGATCCTTATAACTAAATTTCAGAAGTTAGCCTGATTATGTCATGTGCCTTACCAAACATTGACCCCAAGTAACAAGTTGAGTCAGTTAAGCTGATGGGAAAAAAAATTTAAGTATCAAGAACAAATACATATAGAGAAGTTTTTCCTTTTGCTGATTAAAAACAACTACACATAGAGAAGCATAGTAGATACATACATAGGGGGATCATTGTAGCAGGAACGTGAACATAAAGAATGCAAATCCTCTTTCCTCCGGAGTGTTGTATTGCCCATACCAGATTTGATTTGCTCTCCTTCAATTCTTTTGACACGGCAACATAGATTGGCTGATCAACCACACTTGGATTAGGTTCCTCCAAATTTTCTCCCCCAACATCAACAGAAAAAGACCTCTCAGAACCCATCCTTTGTGTAGTTGTAGGCACAGGACTCACCACAGCCATTCTAAGCAAGATTATTGAATCACCCACCAAAAAACAAAGAATTCAACTCTCTCTCGGCCAAAAAAAAAACTCAACTTTCTCTCTCAACAATTGGTAATTATCTCTATAACCCCCACTACTTTCAACCCAGAAATTAATCATCAAAATCTCTCAAACCCACCAAAAATTCTTTCACCGGAACTCAAAAAACCAACAAAAATTGAAATTTTCTATGTTGCCTGCAATTTGCAGATAGGATGCTGAAGAAAACTTTCACCCTAATAACAAAGAGACAAAAAATAAAATAAAAACAAAAAGAAAAAAAACCTTAACCCGTTGTCTCTATCCCCAACTCACTTCAAAGATTCACACAGAGTGTGATGGGAATGGAAAGGCATGAGAAAAAGGAGAAGGGGTTGATGGTGTTGTTGAGAATTTGCGGCAATATCAAACGATGGGTCTCTCTCTCACCTAGAGATTGTATCACTCACATGAAAAGAGTAACCTTGGCTTACGTTCAAATCATTGTAGCGTACAAACATAAGCTCTCCATTTTAATAATGAAAATTGCAATAACTGAGGCTGAACGTAGACTGTTGACTTTAAATTGTTAAGTGAGAAATTTAACATTTTGTAATAATCTATATAATCTAGAAACACAGGTATGTAGTTCACGGTATAATATCTATTAATCTATTGAAATTTTGTTTTTTTAATGAATTTTACATAACAGTTATCAAAGTATTAGAAAAATAATATTGTCAGAGAGACCACAGAGATAAGATTATATAAGTTGCCCGATTGTTTAGTTTATAAAATTAGTAATGGGAATACAATGGAATGAAATGAAAGAATCATATTCATTTTATTCATTATTTATAACATTGTAACTTTACCTAGTTTCTAGTTTTGGGTGTAGTGGATGTTGCAGTGATCAGAGATCCAGTTAACTTTAAGAGAAATGAAGCATATAAGATTTTTTTTAAAATTAAGTTTTATAAGTTTATTTTTAAAAATTGTAGAAAAATAAACTAGTGAGAGGGTCTCTCATTTTGATCTTTCTCTTTTTTTTTTTTCTTTCTTTGAGCCTCATAAGACTCTGAGTTGTTGATTTGTGTAGTTGGTTGGGATTCATAGCTTAGAGTTGAGAATCAGATAGTTTTAGTATGGTGCAGAGCTTCACGAAGCTCAAATGTCTCTTCCCCTCTTCCTCTCTCTTCTTCATTCCCAGTTGCTCGTAATTGAGATAAGGAAAACTAGGATTGATTTTGGTGTTTGATTTGTTGATTTGCATGTTGTTACTTTTAATTAAAATGAGGATAATGGTTAAAATTTTTGGATGGGATGTTAAAGGGGATTAGGTTGTTGCCTTCGAAGTGTAACGTTGTTAGTAGACTGGGACGGGACGTTTCCAAATTGAAACAGGCCGTTCCAAACTACTAAAATAAGGGTGATTTAGTAGCCAAGAACGGGTTGTTCCCAAACTGGAATGGGCTGTTCCAAACTACTAAATGGACCTACAAATCCTAGTTGAGAACGGGTTGTTCTAGTTAAGAACGGGTCGTTCTATGTGTGAGTTTTATACATATTGAAGGAGTGTAGAACGGGTCGTTCCAGATTCGAAATGAGTTGTTCTGGCCACTCCTGAATTCTATAAATAGGCCTCATGCATGCAGTTGAGGAGAAAAAAGGGGAAATTAGAGAGAAGTTTTAGAGAGAAGTTTTAGAGAGAAGGACTCTAGGCTAGGAAGCTTGATTTTGAAGGATTGAAGTTCGGAAGTTGAGCTCGGAGGAAAGTTTTTTTCTTATTCCCAAATTCTTGGCTGTTCGGAGCCAATCTTCAGGTAAAGAAAGCTAGATTATAGATTTGTTGGTTGTATGTGAGTTAAGAACTCATTTGGTACATGAATGTTGAGAAATCAGTGGTTGTATTGATGAACATCTCATTTTTTGGGGTTTTGGGAAAAATGGGGTTTTTGATGATTTTGATGCCTTGAAAATTTGCATGTTGAATCTGAGGTTGTTTTTGAGTTAAATGAAGTCTATGCATTTCATTTCATGGATTGCATGTGGTTGAAGTTGCTGATTTTCAGGTTTTGGGTGCTTAGTTTGATTGGTGTTGTTTGGGTGTGTAAGTTGGCATGATAGATAGGTTGTAAACATGTAATATGAGTTGTGTTATGTGATGAAAATGTTGTTTGTTGATAATATATGATTAAATATTTATTAATGATGTTGTTGGTGATGTTTTTGTGATGAAGATGGGATGTAAATGAGATGCATGTTGTAGTTGAGTTGTGAAGTTGTGTAATTGTGTATGGGTGTTAAATGGGTTTTTGTGCTCAATAGAAATGTGTTGAATATGTTTTATGTTGATAAAGTTGTTATGGGTTATGTGTGGACTATTTATATATTGTGAAATATGATGAGATGATCTAGTTGAGAGTTGTGAAGTGCATGATGATAATATTGTGCGTTGTGAGAAGCATGATGTGAAGTGTGTAGATGTGTTGAGATTTATATAGAAGTTATTAGTAGACTGTGTTGCTAAGTTGTTAGAGGAGAGTTGTATGTTGCTATAAAGTTGTAGGTTGTGCCATGTGTTGAAAAGATATACTTTATGATGATTGAGTTGTAAATTCTGAGTTGAGCTAATAAGTTGTTGAGTTGACAGTGTTGTTTAAAGTTGAAATGAGTTGATAAGATGAAACCTGTGTTGATTGAGCTGTGATGACGAGTTGTTGATCACTAGAATTAGGAAAGATGTTTTCAAAGTTACTCATCCCATTGTGTGGATTGAGAGTATTGTGGTGCTCTAAGAGTCCAAATTGTTGAAAAACCCTCCTTGGGAAGTTGTCCCTTGGAGTGAACGTTGTGTTGTTCTCCTCTAGTACTTAGTTGATCCCGTGTGTGGGCAAGGTCGAGGCACACATGTATGAAGCGATCACGGTATAGGGGACTGGTCGAGCTATATCGATTACAAGCTGTCAAACTTGAGTAAAGTACGAAGTCGAGAACTTAGTTACTAACCGAGTATCGGAGGGTTGTAGTAATTGGAGGATAGTCGATATGCTAATTTCATAGGTGGCTTAGTTGAGCTAGCTAATGTCGTGGTAGGCCTAAACTCAGTTGTTCTATCCTGATAGAGTACTATACTTCCTTGTTTAAGTGACAAAGTCTGAGAAATCGTTATCGTGTTGTAGATTGATATCCAAATTTGATGTTTACCTAGCAAGCCCAAAAAGGTTCTGTGTTGTCGGTTTAGTAGGACCTAGACACTTAGACTGCTCAACCTCAATTATAGGAGATCTCCGAGTTGAAATGCGTGACGACGCATATGTGTTGATGAGTTGATATTGTGATGATATGAGTTGTATGTGTTGATGTGATGTGAATGTGTTATTGAAATGTGTGTTGTTAAAGTGTTGTGCGTTGTATGTTGAACAAGTTGATGATGATGCTAGCGGCGCTAAATTACCTGTTTTGTTAGTTGCTTTTTAACATGTGTTGTTGAGAGGTGTGTAATACACGTGTTGGTTGTTGTTATGATGAATATGTTAACTATTCCAATGGTTTGTACAGTAGTTCTATTGAAGTATTGATCAGTGTTGATATGTTGAATCAAGTTGAAATGATATTAAGATGTATAGTATATGTGTTGTTTGTCTTCTGTGTCGGATGTGAAGATGATTATATAGTTGTTGTGTTGCATATTTAATTACTATGAGTCGTTTATTGTCTCTAGCTTACCTTTGCATGTTTTCATGTGGTTTGGACTGCGATGATCATACGATGTATGGGAGCAGGGCATGGATAGGCCGAGAGATAGCTGCTAGAAGCCACAAGAGGTACCTGGAGTTAGATTTTTTTGTAGGCTACCTTATAGTAGCATATTTTGTTGTATATAGCTGGTTGTTGTTGGTTGCTTGATTAGCAACTTATGTATTAAATATTTTATTATACTATTTTAGTATATATATTCCAGTAGTGTGTAGTGTTGTTCTGTAGTGTGATGGTCATGGCGGATTGTTACACGAAGCATGTGACTTGAATCTTGGGTGATCTTACTTGGAGTTCTTGTTGCATGTTGAAATTTCCTTCTATTCTAGATTGTATGTGGTGAATATATGGTATATGATGGGTTGCATGTTGAGTCTTGAATATTGAATGTGATGATTTCAAATTTATAAATTTGTTTTCCTTTAGGTAATGAATTGCTCTTGAGGTTTATGCAAGTTTTTGGCTAGGCTCACTTAGAGAGGGAACTTACTCACTCCAAATAAGCTTGTGCAATTCTAGTGTGTTGTCTAACTTGGCTCGCTTAGAGCGAGACATAATCGCTCAAAGAAAATTTTCGTGACTTAAAGCGAGTACTCACTTGCTTAGAGCGAGAGATAAATAAGAGATCTCCATAAATAAATGTTAAATGTGGTGTTTGCATGTGATGTGATGTGAGTTGATAATGTTCATATGCATGATATAAATACCTTGTTATATATATATATATATATAAATTTTACTAGTTTCATATTAAGAATCAATTATATATTCTTGTAGTTAAAAAGTTAAATATTTTATTTCTTTTAATGTTATTAATTTTCAAGTAAATTTTTTACCAGACAAGCTTTTTTACTGTTCAACTGTAATATATTATTGTTTTGTATCAAATAAAAATGTCACTATTAATCTTTTTTATTAAATTTAAGTATACACTATGTGTGTTGTGGTAACGCTAAATAATAAACATACAATGTACGAAATACTTGTTAATCCTTTATCTGAATTTTACTATTTGTGTGAATTATTATTATTTTTATATATATTTTCTATCAACCTATTTCCTTTTTGTTAAGATAAAATAATTAAAATTAAAATATGGGTGATGAATAATTCTTAAAGAGCTAAATCATTAATTTACTCAAACTACATTTTTTTTTACAACTGGAACTTCATATTTTTAGTATTCGTGCACATATTGGAAAAAAAAAACTATCAATTCGGAAAAGTACATAAAAAATTTG